AAATGTTTTTTAAAATATCCGACCAATGCACCAAAACCGGTTGAAACCAACAGCGGGCGGTTGCGATTTGAACCACCCGATATTTCCCACATAGTTATGTACGGACCCTAAAGTTTTTCTTAAAATACGAGATGTTCCATGTATAGCGGAATGTTTGTCAACCTGTTTTTTTTTTTTTTCAAAATTGCTCCTGAGTATGAAGACATTTTCGGACGAAATTTTTTTATTTATTTGTTAGTAGGGCATAGTCCTAAAGCTTTGAGGTATTGCCCTACTAAGCAAAAAAACAAAAAAGAAATTAAATTTCGGACCGAAGACTCCATTCTTAGACCGATGAGCAATTTTGAAAAAAATAAAAAAAAGATGGATTGACTTTATAATTTTTACCTAGAGCATTTCATATTTTAGAAAAAAAAAAAGAGTCGGTACGTAAATCAATCTCCAAATTATGGGACAAAGCTTATGCGGGGGTAGGTTAAGAAAAAGGCTATTCTCGTCAAAGATCACTAAAACTACCTCCCTATTTATTGCTTCCAGACGTTGGATATGGCCCTTTATTCACCAAATGCCATTTTTCTCTCTCTCTCCAAAAAAAAATTGAAGTTTTCAGAATGCCCAATTTGGGAAAATTTTGGAACAAATACCACCTCTCTATCTCACTCATTAGAGGAAAATTTTAGGCCAAATGCCATCCCTCTCTATAGGCGGCTAAATTGGAAGCTCCTTTTTTTTGGGTGAGTAAGTGGGGAGTGGGCCCTTACAAGGCGGCTAAATTGGAATGCTTGTTTTTTTGGTGAGTGGGTCCATGCTATAGTAAGTAAGTCTATGTTTAAAATATGATTTTTTTAAAATTTTTTTGATTTTTTGAAATTCGTTTATAATTCCGAGCTTTTCAAAATATCTTTAAAAAATCATATTTTTTTTAATGGAATTGATATAAATCCGTATTTTATCTTTTTTCAAAAAAAACTTTTTAAAAAAATTTCTTCCCTATGACTTTATTTCTTCATTAATATCTTATTACTAAATTTTGGTTTTATAATAAGTACATAAATAGTGGGAGTAAATGAAAATATTTATTCAAAAATAAATTTTGTCAAGAAATTCAACAAATGAGTTCTCTTAAAAAAGGTATACAACAAATGCAAGCAATATATTCCCCAATAAAAGTAATCAAAACAATTGTATATCTCAAAATAATAAGTAGAATTAGAGGAAGAGTGACACAATAAAAAAAAATTCTTCTTTAAACCCATAGTATCTTTATAAAGAGCAAGAAATATATTCAATAGTACTAAAGATTTAGCTAGCTAGGAATTTAGTGCAATATTTGAATTTTCTTAAGCATTTTGTTATGTTTTTTATGCAAGAATTTTTTTTATTAATTTTATTTTTTATTTCACTGGTGTATGTAATATAGCATTTTGGATGGACTACTGTTTTACATATTTGGGTCTTTTGTCGTTAGCTAAGTCTTGTCAAAGCCCAAGTTGAAGAAGCGTACGACGCGATGTGAGAAAATTACAGGGTAAAAAGAGCAAACCAACTAATACAAGCAAGAAAACAAATGCACGTTAGTGTTGTGCTAGGCGGGCCATGCTTCTTGCAAAAATACGGATGCGCATTAGCACCGCGCTTGATGGACCCTTGGGTAGGCCAACCACGGCATTTCATGAAGGTAGACTATATAGGTAGTAGTCTTCACCGAGTGATTGGCGAGTACAAAGCCATAGGATACTTAGGCTTCTAGCTGCGTTTTCTTTTAATTAATTGCAATCTTATATTGGGGGCATGTTTTTTTCCTTTAAAAGGTAATCCTATACCTTGGTTCACAATTCTTGTTATTTGCTAATTATTTATTGTGTTTAGTATTTGTCGTTGTTTCATTTTATGCCCCCAATAAATCTATGATTGTTGTTTCATTTTATGCCCTCAATAAATCTATGATCGTAGTTTCATTTTATGCCCCCAATAATTCACGATTTGTTCTTTGTTGTGACAACAAAATAAGCATTGCTTTTAGATTTATTGAAGGTTTCAATAAAAAATTGTCAAGCATTATTCTAATGACACTAATAAGGCTATAAAATTATTGTTTACATTGTATCATCTTTACATATCTGATTTTTTTACTACGCTTTTTTTGAACTAAATCCAAATTATACATGAATCTATAACTTACCGTGATATTTGAGATCCGTATTTTATCCTATTATTTTTTTCAATTTTTTGAAATAAAACTAATTTATTATCGATATTGTAATTGATTAATATTTTATTATTTTTTGACTTACTAATTATGGTCCCTACCATTGTAGAAAATTGAGCCAAAGACATAGCGTTCCAAATCGTCAAAGCGGTAACTAATTAAGCCAGACACTTTTTCTAGGTGTCTTTCCTTCTTTAGAAAAAGTAAAAATCAACTTTCTCTCATGCTCAGAAATCTGTGTCCTAAGAAGGCAGTTTTGGTACTCGCCAAAAAATAGTCCCATCAAAAAATTGTTTTGAATGTTTGTTAAATTAGCAAGTATACTATACTCCTATAGGCGGATAGTGTACATTTACTCCCTTGGTCAAAAGACCTTTTCAGGAGGATTTTTTCAGTTTTAAATTCTGGGAACTTCCCAAAATCATAGATGATTATTCTCAAAAGAAAAAAAAAATTAATTAACTTTTCCAATACTTAAATCTCATCCTCCAATAAATAAATGGTTTCCGATTGATTTTGAGACATTATTTTTTTCAAGTGTTTAGAAGGTGCAATTAGCAAAACATTTTCTATTGAAGAATAATTTATGGGTGGAAGATGTTACATCCCAAAATTTGGGGTCCCAAAGTTAATTTTAGATGCCTTTTACCCGAGGGAGTAAATGGACAGTACTCCCACGCGAGTATATTATCAATTTGCTTATTAAATTTGAGCTGGTTTTCTTTTCCAAGTCTTGCTTATTAAATTTGAGCTGGTTTTCTTTTCCATGTCACTCTTTTTTGACAAAACTAAACAGTACATTAAATAGTGCCCACTAGTCAATTGATGGTTGAAAGGTGGAAGTACTTATCTTGAATGGAAGCCTATTTTGACTACAATGCGGATGCACATTAAGGATATTTTCGTCTTTGTTCAAAAGCAATAATCAATGTAGCCTTGATCTCAACGAACGCGGTTAACATGCGGCCAGCCCGCATGCGGGCTTGGCAATAAATATATATTTAGAAGGTCCAGTTTGCATACCGATGTATCCTAGAGGTAAGGTGGACCTTCAAATTATATAATTTTGATGTAAAATATTTTTACGATTATCTCAAAATAAATTTTTATATCTAATTATAAAATTTTAAATTTAAAAAATGGTTAAAATCAAGTAGATCTATAAACATATGAAAATCTTGAAAATGAACTGTGTATATAATATGTTGTAAAATGCACTATTTCTGAGGCTTAAAGTCTTTTTATTTTTCATAGTCATACATCTTGATGTCGAGATGATCAATCAAAGGGTTTTTCAATATTAAAACTACCTTTTTCGATCGATTTTTGAGGGGCATCCGTAGTTCTACATTATAAGGTAGCATCCTTATATAAACTTTTTTCATATTTTAAATATAATTGGATCTTAATTTTAAGGGTGTGGTTTCCATAAGGTCGCAACCTTCAACAATCTAATTAAGATGCACTTCTAAATTTTATCATAAATGATATTTTGATATAAAAAAAGTTTTGGATGGCTTGAGAATCTATTTTCATTTCTAATTATAAAATTTTAAAGTCTAAAAATGGTTCAAATTAAGTAGATCTAGAAACACATGAAAATCTTGAAAATGGACGGTCTAGATAATTTGTTGCAAGATGTACTAGTTTGGGGACTCAAAATCTTCTTTTTTTCTTTTCATATTCATACATCTCGATGTCGAGATGATCAATTAGAGGGTTTTCCAACATCCGAACAACCTTTTATGATGGATTTTTGAAGTGCATCTTTAACTTTACATTTTAAAGTTGCAACCTTATTTAAACATTTTTCTAAATTTTACATAATATGTAATCTTTAACATGGAGATCGTCAATATTAAAAAATAAATAAATTTTGGAAATTAAAAATAATAATTATATTAAATTTTTTTTTTGGATAGTTAGTTATAATTCTTGTTTAGGTGAACTACTTATTTGTATGGATGCTTTAACCTCTAAAGCCACATATTGTAGAAATGTGGTCCAGCCCTCATGAAACAATTCTTCTTTAACTCCAAAGTACTTGGGTAATCCCTACTCTGTAACTGTTTGCTTGTTCGTTGTTAAAAAAAGAAAGGGTATTTTGTATTTAGCTTAGGTTCTAAACAATCAAATTAAAATCTCTACTGTATCGGTTTGCTTATTCGTGGTTAAAAAAAGAAAGGGTGCGGTTTATATAGGGCCTAGGCTCTAAACAATCAAATTAGAGCCTACCTTTAAATAGCATCAAGATATATGGTTTTAATATTAGAAATCTTTGTCATAGCTTTAAAATATATTTTCATCGTTATTTATAAAGTTTAAAGCTTAAAAAATAGTGTAGATCGACATATCTATGAAAACTTGAAAATGTTGAAAATTGACGGTAAAAAATTGCATTACAAAATATATTATTTTCAAAACTTGAAATCCATTTTTTTCTCATGTCCATGCATCCTGATGTTGAGATGATAAATTTCAGCATATGTGAGCATCAAAACAACATATGTTACTGAAATTTTTGAGGTAGGCTCTAATTTGATTGTTTAGAACCTCGGCTCTATATAAACTTTTATCAAAAAAAGGCCGTGAATATCATGATCTGTCACCACACAAATGGACGGATTAAAATCTCTAAAGATGAATATCAGCCGTCGAATTAATTCTACCTCAAGATCTCCGTCCCACTCCCTAGCAGGAAGCCGAGCCGAAAGAACCTTGCCCATACCCCCAAGTATTGAAAAAATGTCACTCTCTCTATAAAGTATGAAAAATCTCTCTCTAAAACGAGCATGAAGCGTTAAACCCCCATGATAAATACAGAGGCAAATTCTCTCCCTCTCTCTCTAAGTTGTATCCAAGAGACGAAGACGAGAAGAAGGAAAAAGGCAGTCAGCTAAAGGTAACGCAGGCAGTATCTCTCTCTCTGGCTCCATGCTCCAGCCCGACGTCAAAGTATCCTGCGAAACTATCGCCGGAAACTATGGTTTCCCGGCCAAAGTCAATTTCCATGCGAAACTTGAAGTGAAGGTCTCCAGTAAAACTCCTGCCGGAAAACCTGATTTTCTGGTGAAACCCCTAGCGCCTTTGGCCCAACCTAACTCGGAAACCACCTCTGAAATCCTAACCTGGAATGATACTTTTCAGGCAAAAGACAACTTTCCGGCAACGGGAAAAGAGACCCAATCCATTCCCCATCGCGATACCCTGGCCGGAATTCTCAATCTTCCGGAGAAACCCACCTCGCCTTCTGATTCATACACTGTAACCAAAGAAGAAGAGAAAGATTGGATATTCAAGAATGCCTCGTTTCTTCATAGGAATGAATCAACAAAGGGGTCAAGCTCTCGTCGCTTAAAGCACAAGTTAACGGTTATTGGGTTGCCTGAAACTCAAAATTCCGGCTACTTATCCTGCAAATTCCGGCCAAATGTCCGCCCAAAACAGCCATTATTCATCCCAAAACGAACGGCCTCTCCCTTACGTGAACCTTCATCGCCAAAAGTCTCTTGTTTAGGGAGCATAAAGCTTAGACGAAGCCAAAAACAAAGAAGAAGGACTGTAAAAGAAGCTGTTCCTCCTCCTTCTCCGACCAGAAAGCCTGGTTTTTGGTCCAGGGTTAAGAGGCTTATCCGCTTCAGTCGTCGAAAAAAAGATAGCAGTCAAATTCCTGCCGTTGTGGGTCATTTTCCGGCACAGGAGGGCGAGATTCCGGCGATTGTTTGTCAGATCCCAGCATCATCGCCGCCGCGTTTGTCAGAGTTGAAGCGTTTTGTTTCCGGGAGAAAGGCGGCGTCTATGGGCGTTTTGGACTTCGAAATGGCAAAATACGCCGAAAGATTGGAAGATTTCGGCGAAATGGAAGTCAGCGACAGGAAAGAAAATATCGGCGAAATCGGACTTAGCGAAAGGAAGAAATATTCCGGCGAAATTTGGAGGAGACGGCTACGTACGGCCCCGCCTACTCTGGTAGCACCGTACGACGGCGCTTGGAAGGATTCTGGGCCCGCCTCCATTTGAGGTAACGCCGTTATCGTACTCCGTTATATGAAACTCCTTGTACACTTGACGTTTTTTGTCTTCTTTCTGTTTTTTTGGGGGAAATTTGGTATATTACAAGTGAGAGTGGTTATTTCGGGTGTGGGTATTGATGGTAACTAAGATTGGATATTGTTGAAACGGCTGTTGTACGACGCCATTATTTGTTACTTTCTGTACTTTTTTCCTCAGTTTTCTTTCTCTTGTTTTCTTTCCTTTTATTTGAATCGAGAAATAATTCGTATTGTAAATGAGAGTAGTTATTTTGGGTTAGGATGTTTATGAAAGTTTGTGAGGTTTGATGAATTTGTAATAAGGTTGTTGAACGTTTTTATGGTCAGGGTATTAAGTTGAGTGTAATTTAGGGAAAGAAGAGAGAGGATAGAGGTAAAGGGCAGAGGTAACGAACCCCATAGTTCAGCTGTACGTTGGGGTTTTTATTTTCTTCAAAAACTACTAATTAATATCTATTTTTTAGATAGATTTTAAGATTTAATAAGGACATGTAATCTCTAACATTGAGATCATGAATATAAAAAACTAAATAAATTTTAAAGGCTAAAAATAATAATTCTAGTAAGAAAACATTTAGACCATTAATTTTGTTTTTAAATGGGACACCTAGTTGCATCTATCTCTAAAATGGATGTTTTAAGACCGCATATGTAGAAATGCTGTAAACAATTTTTTATTAAAAAATAGGTAGAGGCATGTCATCTTTACTGAATTATCAAATAAATAAATAAATAAATAAATAAGTAAATAAGTAAATAAATAAATAAATAACAAAAAACAAAAAAAAAAAAAAGAGAAGAAGAGAGGGGCTATAAGCCTATAATAATGGGGGGCATTCAAATATTGGTGTATTTCTAGCGAATTTGGCCAGAATCCAGTTGTGATGCATTTGATGTGTAGAGAGAGGATTGAAAGGCGATGGGAAAAACATGAAATGGAGTTTGAAGGACTGGGATTACATAGATCGGTAGTCGGTATGAAAAACATGGAGTAGAATTAGTGGAGTTAGAAGGATAAGCATTGGGAGCATTGAAAATAGCGATTGTAGTTCACATCACATCATACACGTAGATAATGAAAGCTCAACGCAATAAGACACCCAACTCAACACGTCTTACTTAATTAACGGTACAGATGTAATCCATTCTCTCTCCGGATAAATCGCCAACTCACGTTGAGAGAGGGGAAATGACTCTAGGCTCTAACTAAAAAACAACTAAAGCATAGGTCTGAACCACTAAAAGAGTGCTTGTTTGTCTCTCGAGGAAGATACTTGGTTTGGAGAAGGTATGGGAAATTTTCGAAAGTATCTTTATATTTTTTAAAAAAATTTGAAAGATAATAAATTTTTTTTAAAGTTATGTCCATACCCAGTACTTTGTTTTCAACCCAAAATGCTTTTCACGACCTTAATAGGGCCGTGAGTACCAAGGATTTAGTTGGAAGCTTCCTTTGAGCATCACGGCCCTATTAGAGTTGTGATGCCCGATACGGTTGTGTACCTTTGGATGCATTCAAAAGCTTTTAAGGTGCCCAAGGCATCACGACCCTAATAGATATGTGGTTATGCGTCATGAGATATGTGGTTATGCGTCATGTTGTAATTGGGACGTTCAGTGTATTTTAAGTAGACAAAAGTATTGTTCGGTATGGATGCTAGTTTTTAAAAAATTTTTGGTAGTTCTTGTATTTTTAAAAATATAGAGGAATTTTCAGTTTATTTCTTTGAGATAATTTAACCTTGGTGCAAGCACAAATGACTTTGGTATTTAGAGGTAAAATTGTGTTGCAACTATGCCTTCCACCGATCTCAAATTCTAAAAGAAGATTTCGAGCTTTGCGACACTCTGCATGCAGTCAAGTTTCACATTTGAGCGCTAAATGATTGTATTTGTAACCGTGGTTATATATGTGATCTCCTTGTACCAAAAATAAATTGCGATAAAACGCATAATCCAATTTGGTTTTAAATGGTCTACTAGAATTGGCCAAATTTAGATAGAGATTTTAGATCTCTTGATAAAGAGCCGAAAAGTCCAATGTATAGATCAATTGTATATGAGAATTTGCTACCTAGGCAAGGGTGAGTGCACCGTCAATTCGAGTGATGCATGTGTTATTGTACCCTATACCAGAAGGATTTGGTGAATTGTTTGTCCAAATTTAACAACTTCAATTATTTGGTTGTATTGCGCAATTTAGGTGAGATTTGGAGCTAGGACCCGTGGACCTCAACCACCAGGCCAAGAGCCCTATTATTGGTTGAGTTAGGTTCCTTTTGTGACTCCAAGACGAACTTCCTGGGTCCCTTATCGCTGACCCAATGAGTAGAGGATGACAAGAAATTATTGAATAAAATGAGTTTCCAACAACTATCTGATTAAGGTTGGGCTTGCAAGAGTCGATTTTGCAGTCTTTTTTTATGCAGTACCTCAACGTGATTCGAGCACGAAAAAGGTTCAAAAATCAGTTTTATAAGGTCTAAAACCAAATCACTTATTTCGACTTTTTAACCCATATTGTAGGGTTCTCGAAATGGGTACCCCCTTGAGGTTATTGGCATGAAATTCAGCCTCCCAAATACTGCTTTATCTCTTGAAAAGGTTTGCGGAATTTCATAACGTGAGCATACAAATGGATTTAGACAACCCTATTCAACTCTCCACCCTGAGTTTTGTTATAGTTTTTGCCAGAGATAAATATGTTGTCCCGCAGCAGAAAGTTCATGTTTACAACGACTTCCCTTGCACAATTGGAATCATATAAACAAGGACATGGTTTCTATGCGGCCGGCCCAGGCTTGGCAATAAATATATTTTTTAAATATAATTTGATCTTAATTTTTAGTGACTAAATAATCTTTAATATAGAAATCATGAATATAAAAAACAAAAATTTTAAAATTAGAAATAATAATTATATTAAAAAAACATTTGTACCATTAAGTTTCACTTTTTTTAGATAGACCACCTATTTGCATCCTAACAAAACTAAAATTCTAAGTCTACAATTTTTGGAAAGGCCATGGACAATATTGCTCTTTCCTTTTTGAATGTAACAAGATAGGAAAATGTACATAACAAGATAGGAAAGTGTATATTACACCATTGTATGATCATTATATATACAATTAAAGAACCACCACAATAATTGTGTGGGTCACAATTATTTTCTAAAGGATGCGATTTTTATAAGGTTGCAACCTTAAACAATCCAATTAAGGCGCACCTTAAAATTTTATCATAACATATAATTTTGTTGTAAAAAATTCTATTATTATCTTAAAATCTATTTTTATACTTAATTACAAAATTTTAAATTCCAACAATAGTTAAAATTAATTAGATCTATAAATATATGAGAATCTTGAAAATGGATGGTCTAGATAATGTGTTGCAAGATGCACCATTTTCACGACTCAAAAACTTGTTTTTCTCATATTCATACGTCTCGATGTCAAGATGATCGATTAAAGTGTTTTTCAAAGTTAAAACAATATTTTCGATAGATTTTTTAGGTGCATATGTGATTCTACATTTTAATGTTGCAATCTTATATAAACTTTTCTTTTTTCTAAAAGAGTTCATCTCTCTCTAAAAAAATTCTTTATGGTATCAGATCGGATCCGTGAAACACAATCGATAGAGGCTAAAATGTGAGGCTGATCATATTAACAATCACGTTTTTTCTTCATCTTAAAAGGTTAACGTTAGGTCCTTATTTCACTTTACCATCATCTTCACATCTCCCTAAAAAACTCTTTTCCCCTGGTTTTTGTCTTCACGTCACTCTTCTATAGCATCCATATCATCCCAACACCGATACATCCATATCATAAAGCCCAGTTTCTCTATCCTCTTACACCATCTACAGCATCTTTCCACACACTCTCTCTAAAAATCAAGCACCAACCCTACCTCCCATCTTCTTTCTCAAAACGTCCACACCCTCTCCCTTGACCTTACAGGCTATCTTCTCATCTCTAAAATTTTATTTTATTTTTTCAAGCCCTAACTGACATATTTCCTTCCACCATTTTTTTTTCTTCTTTCTCTCATGTTTTTGCGTCTAGCCACATATTTTATCAATTATTCCTAAAGATTTATTTGTTCCAATGACTGCTACATCCTCAATATCTCAATATCCCTATCCCTCGCAAAACACAAAAAGGCAGAAAAACAATATATCTCCATTGACGATTATATTTAGGGAAAGCTTTCTATGTTCCCCTTACAACATAAAAGTTCTATGTTTGCCTTATCCAAGCGTCCATTTTTTAATGGATGGTTAAGATTGTACCAATCACAATGTCACGTCTCTACAATGTTTTATTTTAAATTTTTTTCTATAAATTGTTTTTACACCAAATTTTGGACGTCTATTCCTATATTAAACTCACACTAACGAAAAATATAAAAAAAATATTTTCAATAAAATAAAATGACCAAAATACGCCTAAAATTTTTAAGGGGTATTTTGGTCATTAATTTTTATCGAAAAATTATTGTTAATATTTTTTATAGGTACGCCCCAATGAGAAGATGGCAAGTACGAAATTTCATATTAAAAAAATATTTTATTAAAAAGACTAAAAATAAAATACTTTGAGACGATGGATTTAAGATCAAACGGTGAGTGGCTCTCTTGATAAAAAATGGATGGCTGGATGGTAGGGGGAACGTAGAACTTCTATGTTGTAGGGGGAGCATAGAAAGCCTTCCTTGATATATATATATATATATATGGTTTAAACGGTGCACCGTATCAGGCACTCCAAAAACCCATCCGGATCGGTGAATCGAGAATCCGGATCGGGAATTGGCCAAATCGGTCGGATTAAGCCTTAAATAAAATAAAAAACAATTATTCAAATTCATTATAAATGTTGTTTTTTAAGAATGCAATAAGAAATTGAGGTACTACATTATTAACTTTCATTTTTTTCATCAATATGCGAATATAGAGATATTATTTCCCGGTATGAACTTATGTTAACCATTAAATTTCATCACAAAAAAGAAAGAAAGAAAGGTTTCTATACTTCCCCTAAAGCATAGAAGTTCTATCATCTCCCTACCATCCAGCTCTACAATTTTGATCAAGAGAGCCCCTCACTGTTTGATTTTAGATCCGACGTCTCAAAGTATTTTATTTTTAATTGTTTTTTATACAAAGTATATGAATATGAAATTTTGTACATGCCATATTCTCATTGGGACACACAGATAAAAAATATTAAAAATATTTTTTCAATAAAATATGATAACCACAATAACCATTGAAACTTTTAG